CCAGTGAAAGCCTGAGGGTAGAAGACACTTATCAGAGATCCTGATGGCCCCTCAGAGGATGGGACTAATGAGCACCAAAGGAAAGGGCAGCCCCATGCCCTTCGTGCCGCAAGTCCCCAAAAGGGTGTGGGAAGAGAAGAAGCATTTGGGGTGGATCTGACATTTTGGGGAGTCATGACTCTTAGTGTTATAACCAGCAGCCCCAAATCCCCATGCCCTCCCTGGGCTTGGAGCAGATCCTGGCTCTTGGGGATCAACAGGACCGTATGCCCACCGAGTGACAGCTTCCTAAATGAAGATTCTGGAAATAAGCCAGATGGCCATGATCCCGGAGGACAGGGATGCACGACTCTTTTCTGGTGGGCTAGGACTCGACAGCAGGGTATGCTGAGACCTGAAAACTGAGGTGCGGTGGCAGGTGTGACCTCTCTCTGGATGAACCTGTGGGCAGGAAGTCCTGCTCTGGGAGATGGCCCAGGGGTTGGGGAACAAGCTGGCGCCCATGCAGCTGTGACTAAAGACCCATCCCCGTGCCTCTCAGATCATTTCTACTTTCAGGAGCAAAATTTCTGCCACTGAAGCGAGCTTCTAGGTGCCAATCTTGTCATTACTAGAGGTGTTACGGTACCATGGCTCCTTTTCGCCTCATCCTTTCCTCCCTTTTTTTAGCCTGACTTCCAGGCTCTCAGAGTCCTGCTGCTTTAGTGTTAGTGGGAGATGAGATTGTCGGTCAGGAAACCAAGCCTCCCCATAGGAGCACCATCTGTATGCAGCAGACTTCAATCCTGGGATTTAATTTAAGAGCATCTCAGAATGTTGTCTGGCCAAGGCTGATGTTCAATACCCCTGGATATTATGACTGAGCATGATAAGGGACCATAGAGACCACCCAGCCAAGGAGTTGCTGGTAGAGTTAGGGGCTTCAGCCTTCTGGTGACACCACTGTCTCAACCTCCTACCTGGATGAGTACCACAGTCCAGAGAGCTGGCTTCCCTAAGCTGTTCAGCACCGTGCTTGGGCATGAGAGGGCAACAGAGACTGTGTGTGTGTGTGTGCGCTATAATGGGGCTGGGTGGGGAGTGGGAAGGGAAAGTGCCTTCTTTTATCCTAGCAGTAAATCCTGCCCAAGAAACCCCCAATCAAGGAGCCACACAGAGTTAGCTGGTTAATAGTGGGTTCAAGTCATTTATTTTTAGACTGTACCAGCATGTTTGGTTCTGGGGTCCAATCCCCAAATTCCAGAAAAATAAACTAATGAGAACCACATGCACTATGAAGAGGCCATTCCGATGTGTCCGTGATCATGCAGTGAGTGAGCATAGAATGTGGACCAGGCATTTTGGCAGGAGCAGGGCCTCCTCCCAGGTTAGCTGGCTCTGAGCCCTTACTGGGGCTGAGGAGAGGGCCAAGGCTGGGTCATTCAACCATGTCCCTTTATGGCCCTGAGCCCCTTATTGCTACATTTGCTACTTTGCTACGTTATGGCCCATGGGTCATGCGGAGGGGAAGCCTTTTCACTGGGTGGTCCTAATGAGTAGACTGCTGGCCTCTGCCAGTGCAATTATTGTATGAGTATAGAACTCTCCTCAGAGAGTTCCATGGTGGATTATCTGGGATTCATTTGGCCGCTATATGACTGTACCACACATGGTCCTTGCTGCATACCTGGCTGGCCCCCATCGAGGCTGGTGGCACATTACCTTTTCCTATTGATCCCAGTTCTTTCCAGCTCCTGGCCCTTGCTGGGACACTTCCCTCCAAAAAATTCTGCAAGGCTCAAGGCCAATAGCCCTCAATCCTTTCCAGCTTCCAGAAGGCTTCTTAGTGGTGGCTTTTGAAGCCCATGCATTTGGAGCAAATGGGTGGGGTGAATTCAGGAAAAACATCAACTTATACAACCAACAAAAGGGCCAGACAAGTGGCGGACTCCTGGTTTAGTGTCCTGTTGGTGAGGTAGTTTGAACACACCAGCAATCTTGCCAGGGGAAAAGCTCCTGGAGTGTGTCCCCATGTGTTCCCTGGTCCGTGCAACAACTCAGCATTGTGAGAGGTCCCTCTGGGACCCTGGCCTGTATCTGATCCTTCAGTAGCAGTGGGCCTGGAGTGTGACCCAGCTGACTGCACTGGCAGGCTGGGTCCTGCAGTGTTCCTAGCATAGAGCAACACCTTTCCAGCAGAACACAGCATCACCTTTTGGAGCTCTCTCCCCAGCTCAGCGAGCTCCTGCTGCTTGGACCAGGCTCTCTGGCTGCTGCTGAGCATTTACATGTGCCCACCTACAAGTTTTACTCTTCCCACGTAGGCAAAGGTTATTTCAATCAGATGCCCAATGTCTGGTGCCTGTGTGTCTGAGCTAATTAGGTTGTGGGGGTCGCTTCTAAGGCTGCCTGAATGCTTTGGTCATGGGGCTGCCCACATGATATGAGCCCTCAGTGGGAAGAGTTCCAGGTCCAGAGGCTGTCTAGTCAAGGGAGGTAAGGAGGCTTCTGGAGGTAGAGGAACCTGCTTTGCTATAGAATTGCCTTCAAAACTCTAATCTGGCTAGAAGTTTTGGCTGCGTAGACCAGGCCAGTAAGGAACCGACCAAGACCAGATTTTCCAAATGTACTTGCATTCTAAAGTCTGCACAGTAGATTGACCTTGGACTGGCCAACGTGGGAGGAGCAATCCTGGTCCACATCTGTTGCTTGGCTTCATCTACTGGGAAGCACGTGGTGTTGATCACAGGGCCGAGCATGCCTGGATGGGAGGCATGAGGAGGGGGTTTACTGCTTGGGTCTGAATGCATCTGGAGTGCCCTTACCTCTATTGAGCTTGCTGGCCTGCCCTCCCCTCTGGATATCCCCAGAGGTGTTTGGAAGCCTGTAGCCTGCTCCATCTAAGGGCTACTGTCCATCTGACCTTTGGCAGGCCCCCTGGGGATCTCCAGGGTGGGGCAAAGTCTCAGGAGCAGCAGCCAGGGGGTGAGGGGAACAGCTCTGCCCTGTCCACAGCCCATGGGGAAGGACAGGAGGCAGCCAGGCTCTTGTCCTGGGCAACTGAGGGCATAGAGGCACCTGACGTCCTGGAACTTCCTTTGTCCACATACCCTGTGCTGATGTCAGCACTGCCTGGGGGCCTCTGGCAGGGAGGAGCTTCCTTTGGGCAAAGTTGGGTGCAGAGGAACTTGGACTGTAATTGGTACTTAAACAGGAGGTCTGTGTGAAATGCAAGGGGCTAACTAAGGGTGGAACGAGGAGAGGTGTCAACAGACCCCATAACATTGACAGGGCTTTGTTTCATTCATTTATTCATCAGGTCATTATGGAGTGCCTGCCAAGTGCCAGGCTCTGCCAAGGTTGTGTGGCATGGGGGTATGAGAGTGCCCAGTGAGAACATGGGTCTGTATTGCCACCTTTGGAGGTAACCTGAGAACTCTCAACATCTGTCATCGCACTCATTTCCACTGTACCTGGCAGAGAAGCAACTACTGCCACCGGGAGAAACCGAGGCGTGGTCAAGAACCCAGGAAGGTGCAACCACAGCCGAGACTCCATTGCCCTCGGTGGCCCTGCTGGCAGGGACAGAAGGACGGTGCCCTGAGGGACAGGGAAGCAGACACACGGCAGGGCGCCGGGGCAGGGGGCAGAAACGTGGTCATGGGGGAGCACCCAGGAGGCAAGGTCTGCAAACCAGCTCATGGGCCTCTGGTCACTGGCTGGTGACTTTGCCTACATGAGTAAAGAAAAACCAGTGATCGCTTTTTTATTCTAAGTTTTCTGTTTATATACTCCCAAGGGAGATTTTTCATCTATGGTCAAAAATAGATGAAAGGAGGACAGCCATAGCAGGTGGGGGCACGAGGGTCTGAATCGAAGAACATGTTGCCTGATCCCACTGTGTCCGAGGGCTTGCGGGAGTCACAACGACGACAGTGGGAGTAATAGCTACCATTTGCTGAGCACCATGCGTGCCTCGGGCACCTGGCTCGTCACGCCACACACATCGCCTCACAGCCAAGTCGGCAGATGACAGGGACATGCACACATGAAGGGACACGTGGAGCTTTTGCAGGTCCTGGCAGGTTTTGCTGTGTCTGCTTTTCCCCTTACGACAGGCATTGTTTAGCGGGGTACCTTTTGCTGGGTTGTCAGAGAACCATATGGCCCTGGTCTAGTCCCTCTGTAGCACATTCCACCCAAGCTTCAGACGCAACTGGGCCCCGGACCAGCCCTGGCCCTGGCCATGCCTGCAGATGCCACATGTGGGGGCTGCCAGCTGCCCCCAGGGCTGGTAACTCTCCCAGCTGCCACCTGGGGCCGCCTGAGGGGAGGATCCCAATGGCCCCTGAGTTCATGGCCGTGTTTATTTTGAGCAAAGCACGAGGGAACAAACCAAGGAGAAAGGGAAGAAACAGAATAAATGACAAGATAATAAATTTTAAAAAGATGGTTGGAACCTCCCTAGCCACCAAATCATGAGCTCTTTCATCTACCGTAGTGCTTCCTCTGGTGTTGGACCTCTGAGACATCTGACAGGACCCAAGGGCAGCTGCTGGGCCTGGGGAGACCCCTCTGAAAGCTGGCCTCCAAGGGGCTTCATGAGCTCGAGGTGACGTGATCCCCAAGGTGCTCAGCGCTGTTGCCAGGGTTGGGACATGCTGCGTGAGGTCAGCACCCAGTGCAGGCCTGTCACACCTGGGGGGCCGCAGAGATGGGAGGAAGCAGGAGGTGGCTGGGACACAGTGGCTGTAACTCTGGTGGGTGCTGGGGGGCCGCCACTGAGATGGTGGGCAGGTGGGCACAATACTGGACGTGCTCAGGGCAAGCTGGGCCCTCTTGTGTTGGCTGGAAGGCGTGATTCCCCAGACAGTGGGAGGGCTGATGATGGTCAGGATGTGATCTCAAGTGACAGTCACAACAGGAGCTCCATAAGGTGTTCCCCCTGAACAAGTTAGGAACAGGGACCTCTCAGAGAGTGGGGTGCCAGCGCATGACTATACCAGGAACAGAGGGTTGTAAACAGGGGCCTCTACCTGGCTGACCCCAGGCTCTGTGGACTCCTTTCTGGTCTCCCTGTTCACCCACCGAGTCTCCCCACTGTGGCCCGTTGATGCCCTCATTCTTTCTCTTTCACAGTGACCAGATCTCCCCGTAAGGAAACTCTGTCCGCGGATGTGGAGCGCCGCCGCCTGCCCGTGTGGTCCTTGGGCCCGGGCTCTGGCCCTGCAGTGGGAACGGTCAGGAGGACTGCATCAGGCCGGTGAGGCGCTTGCCCGCCAGTGACTTTCCCTGCAGAGACAGACGACAGAGTTGGCACACACAGGTGCACACACGCGACAGGTAGGGACAAAGACAGAGAACCAGACAGGTGAATTAATTGCATGAGCCATGGAGGCCAAATGACTTAGCTAATTGATTCCATTGATCTTTGGGGTTGGGAGCCTTAACTGTGGACAGTGGGACCCACCAGGACTCCGGGGCATGTTAGAGAGAGGTGTGCTGCTGGTATTCTTTTGGGATGTGGGAATTTTACTTACCCTAACCAAACCAGGCATTTCAGCTCTTAGGTAGAGTGTCTCTTGGTGCCTGAACTCGATTTTATCGAGGTAAGAAAGTAAAGGCGGATTGGGGTGTAGTCAAAGAACAGGGAGGGTGGTGTCAGATGACAGCTAAGGATCTGGGTGGTCAGAAATTAATGAATTAACTAGCCTTAAGAATGCACAAGACCTAGGAATCCTGTTTGAAATGCAGGAGCAAGTTCTCCTTGGGAGAGATGCACGGGCTTTGGGTCCTCCTGATGACCAGCTCTGGGTCTCTGAAAGCATGGAGTAAATGCTCAAAACCAGGCTGGTGACAGGGACCACTGGTGGAGTCAGGGCAGCATGCTGTGCCACCTCCTGCGTTCTTGGCTCCCCATCTGTGGTACCCAGGGGCTTAGTTTGATGACTCCACGTCTGGAGGGCTACAAGCGCTTCACTGATAACCCATGTAGCAATTCTTGAAAATAAAAAAAAAGACTGGAACGTGAGGCCTGGTGCATGAAGCACAGAGGTCCTGAGAGAGGCCAGCTGTTCACACGCTCAGGAGAAGGTGGCTGTGGAGCCTCCAGCGTGGGACTGGGCACCAAGAGGAGGGACGGGGATGAGCGAGCCTTGGTCGCTCTGCTTAGTGCCCTTGACTGCGCCTGTTTCTTGCTCGCCCTCTTCAGAAATCCATAGCCCCGGACAGGGGTATAGAGGAGGGTGTGGCTGGACCCAAGCAGACTGATCACTGCATCTGAGGAGACACTCAAAGCTCATCCTGTTATTGACGGCAGGTCAGCGGGACCATCACCATATTCGAGGGGCGCCACATGATCGCTTGTCGGCATGGGCTGTGGTGTTAGGTAGCATGAGATTGTAAGGGGGACCAATTCCTCATGCTCATTTCCAAGTGGGGTGGGAGGCCTCATCTTGTTTACTGGGCTTGGCTGTGTGTAAGCTGGATATAATTAAAAACAATTGATCAGGTTTGTGAAGCCTGGTAGGGTAACTCAATATAAGCCTGCTGATTGATGAATTGATGGATGATGGGGGTATCTAATGACTGAACAACATGGCTGTGCGTTTGCTGAATGCAACGTCCTCGGGCTTAGCTCTCCAGGGAGGAACAGGCCAGCTTGATGTTGAGAATTCCGATGGCCTGGATGGGAACTTGTCCAGAAATGAAATTGCCCTTGCGAGCTGCTGTTACCTCCCCTTGCTCTTTTTCTCTCATTTTTCGCCATGTTCACTTTCTTGCACTCCTCATTTTCACGAGTGAGACAAACCTTTTCATTTTTCTCCCCTATCTTACACACACACACACACACACACACACACATGCAGAATCTCCCCATCAGCAACCTTATCTGAATCTTCAAATACACTCAACTTAGCCTGCAGCAGGACACATTTATACTAGGCTAAGGATTTTTTAATCAGATTTTTTCTTTAATCCTAGTGGGTTACAGTGCCAGTCTTTGCAAATCACTAAAAGCAGGCTGGCTACTCCTCTGGGTAGAGTGGGTTAGGTACAACAACAGCTCCTAGCGGCACGGCACGGGGTGACCTTCAAAGATTCCCTCCAGCCCCGGATTCTAAAGCACACACACAGCCAGTACTCTCCTTGACTGCCCTTTCTTAAGTGGAGCTCTAGGCATTTGTCATCCAGTTGGTTCACCTGGGATGGTGCCTTCTTCATGCAGGCCTGAAGGCAGGGAGCGTGGGTTGCATGTGTGAGGTCCTCTCTGGGGAAATGTGGAGCTGATGAGTCTAGGGGCCTCCTGGTTTGAGAGCACAAAGCCTCCCTGCCCCCCTTTCCCAGGTCCATCTTTGCTCTGCAAAAAGCATGGACTCATTGTGCTAAATACTGGTCCTGTCCCCCCTTCCATCCCTCTTCCACCAGGGTCACAAATTACACATTGTGTCACCGAATATATATGTCATGGGTTTGCCATACAGGGCATGTGAGTCTCTGATTTAGCTGGCAGATGTGAAAAACAATCAATAAAGCTTCTGAATAACAGTCAGTTGCCAGTGCATATGTTACAAGGCCAGAGACAAAGAAGGTGAGGTTTACCAGGCAGTCCAACCCTCATTACAGCGTCTTCCTCATTAGTAAGGTCATTTCAGCTGGAGAGGCGGCTGTGGTCTGAGGGAGGTTGGGGATTCTATTTCTGGAGGGGTGTGTGATTATTTGTTTTAGGTGAATTTGGCCCTGAGGCTCCCCATTCTCCATCCCTCCCTGTTTTCTATAGAAGGGGCTGGGCTTGGCTTTGAGGCGCTAATTAATCTCTTCCTGCCTAAATCCTGGAGCTCTCAGCCTCACAACTCTGACTGGGAGGACCTGTGGCCAGCCCATCAACGCCTTCCTCTCCCTCCCACACTGCTTCCATATTCCAGGATTTACCGACAAGGTGGGGGTGTGTGCAGCTGACCAGCCTACAGAACACAACCCGAGGTTGTTCCCAACCTCTCAAATCCAGGTGGTGCTCTTTGCCATTTTTCTCTCCCTCTCCCTGCTACTCCTGCTGCTCATGCATTTACCAAATGCCAGTACTGCTGCTCAAGGAGGTCGTGAGGGTTCGGGTCAGCTTGCGGGGCAGCTCAGCCCAGCTACAATCTGTCTGCTATGCAGTGACCTCCCCAGTGGGGCTGGAAGGTGGTTATTCATGCAGGAAGCAGGCATGGCTAGATGCCTGGCCTCAGGCTTTGGGAAGAAATCCTGCAATCACACTGGCTCAGCAGCTGCCTCCTTTCTGAAGAGCTGAGGCTCCTGTAATTTTCAGGGATCAAAGTGAAATCTGACAGCAGAGGCTACCTGTGTTGAGAGATGAGCTGCCCCAAGGTCTCTGATGCTAGGGGCTTGCTGGGAGCTCCTGAGCTACCTGATCTGCCCGGAGAGAGGAGAGCTCCCACTCTGCATCCTCTAGGGCTCTTTCCTCCCTCTCTTCACCCCCCTCCCTGCCTCCAGCATGGATGATTCTGTAGGAAACACTTAGAAAGGGGAATGATAATTCTGCCTCTGCCTGACATCTTGCACAGTTTCAGGGAAGCCATTTTTTCAGGGTGCGAATGGGTGATGCTCCTCAGTGCTGGTCAGTTGGGAACGGATCATGGTGCCAGGAAACTGCAGCCAGCTCGGCCTGAGGCCTTGGCAGAGCTGAGCAAAGCAGCTGAAGGTGGTTGAAAATGCTATTAGCAGGCAGCCTTTGTCCAAGTGAAAAAATATACAGTGGTTAAAAACTGAGCTGCAGAAGGTACATTCCAGAGACAGCAAAGCTCTGCATACAGACAAAACGCTTTTCACCTTGGGGACATTTGGAAAAGTTTAGTCCAATAGAATTTGGGATCCTTCAATTTCATGGACCATGGGCTCAGTGCCAGGTTCACAGACATCCACACATTCAATCTCTACCCTCCACCCGACTAATCATTTCAGCTCTGTGGCCATCTCGATGACTAGAAGCCTGGAAGAAGGTGGTCATGGAATCCTTTGTTTCTAAAAGGAAATGCACAAAAGGAACAGTTCCCTTTTGTGAAGTGCTTTAAGAAAAATCAACATGCTGTTTGACATGCTGTGGCTCTGTGTGCTGCACTTCCAGATATTAGTCAACAAAGCATGCACAATCCGGGTTACTAAGAGCTTTCGTCATTTACTTACCTGAGGACTGATGCTAACCTCTGGCTGGGAGAAGGGCTGTGGCTCAGAGAGCAGCCCTGGGGGTCAGATGACATTGAGGGCAGCAGAGCCAAGCATTAGGGGCTCAGGCAGGACCCATTTCAAGTCTAAGTGAGTAAAGACATCTGAGCTGGCGATGAAATTCTCCTGCTGATCTGCCCGGATAATCTAAGACCAAAGTTACAGATCTCAAGTACACCAAGTCAAATCCCCATGACTATAGGGCTAGAAATCAACTGTGGTTGCCTCTGGGGGGAAAGGGGTGGAACTGACTGGAAAGGGGCACAAGGGGACTTTGTAGGGTGATGGGGTATGGGTTACACTGGTGCATACATCTGTCAGATTCACTGAATCATGCATTTCAGATCTGCTCATTTTGCTATATGATATTATACTTCAAAAGAAAAATTGATTAGAAAAAAAATCCCGGCTATCACATCTCTGTGTTGAAATTTCCCTCTCCTTAGTCTTTTCCAGTTGCTGTCTCAACATCTTTGCCTGTGGATTAAATTCAGTGCTTCCCACTCTTACAGGAGAACCCAGCTTCCTCTGCTGGGCAATCTAGAACTTGTAATTGTAGCCTCCAAACTGATGCCCTTGTTGTGACATACAGGCTTTTTTAAATTCCTGCTAATGAAAAATGGTGTTTTGCTGAATAAGGCTCACCAAGTGACTTCAGCAGGCAAGAAGTGGGAGGCCCCAGAAATGAGCTGTCTTCTCAAGGAGACTGAAGGTCACCTATGAGTCGATGATGTTCAAGTCTGTGATGAGTATGTGTGGAATCACAGGCTGGGGACGCCCGGGAGCCAGGTGGAAGGGCAAGTGTCCTGGCTTAGGTTTAGCAAGAGGGGGAGAAGTCATGGAGCTGCCTAACTTCATCGGGTGGCTTTCCTGGGAGTTGGTGTCCCGGGTGCCCCTTCTGCATTGAGCAAAGCAAAAAAGGAATGATTTACAAAGGGAGTAGAAGGAATTCCATGGCATTTCCTTTCTCAGTGATGTTTAAAATTATGGAGAGAGTGCCATTTGCTTGGGATGGTTTAGGAGTCTGAGAAACTCTGGAAGAGTACAGTAAGGAAGTCCATACCTAACAGAATAGTCTCAAAAAATGTTTCAACTCTCCATCTCTTATCTCATGTCACAGCAGCTCACCTTCTATTGAACTTGGTGAGGCAACATGGGCGATGCAATGGGAAAACCATACGACAGGACTAGCCAAGATGACATATTGCTAATACACAACAGAGCTCAGTCACGGCAGCACAGGGACAAGGAGAGGACGTTTCTGGCTTTCTCACTGTTCAGGAGTTGGGGGCAGGGGCCCTGTGGCACGATCTACTCCTGGGGTCTGGATACTCCTGGGTCCTTACCAAGCTTTCTGATCTCCCTCAGGAGCTGAAGGGCATTTTATTTGGCTTTCAAATATTCTCTTTATTGAACTTAAGAAAAATAAGATGTCACAAACATAAAACAACACCCCAATTAAAAAAAAAAACAATAACAAAGAAGTAGGTGAAAATTGAATTAATAAAAAAATCTTTACTGGCTGAAGAATTAATAGACATTTATATGTATTTAAACCTGTCTTTTAAAAAAAGGAATATGATCATAACAAAAATCACGGATTCTTTTGAGACAGCTCACCATCTTATGTACGTCGTTTAAAACACCCAGGTTTTGCTGTGTAAAAACTGGGTCTATGGAATCTCGCAGTTGTCACTTCTTCTGGAAGTCCTATCTCACAGGCCTGAGAGCATACACTAGTCAGTGGCAGAGCTGAGTGGGTCAGTCGTCATGACCCCTACACCTACTTTGTACATGGCCATCACTCTCAAGGAAGCAGATGGAAACATTTGAGACTAAAGCCTCCTCCAGGCCCACCCACACTGGGTGACCTATACGGGCAGCACAGGGCGATTTTCTCAACCTCACTGACAAAGAAGCTATAGCCCTTGGGTATGCTCGAGACCATCTCAGGCATTTCTGCTCTCCCTCATCATATTTGGGACTCAGAGAGGGTGCCACCTTTCAGGTGGCAAGCCTGGCAAAGTGGGATTTTGGCTACAGCACTGAGCTGGGGTGCAGGTGACTCCTGCTTGGTGCACATTGGTTTAAAGTGCACTTGCTTGACAGGCCAGATGAAGCCACCACTTCTGTTCTGGCCCTGTGTTCCTGGCGCTGATGCCTCTGGGATCACCATAGCAACCATCCCAGGAAGAAGAGAAGCAGGTGCGATATTTACCTTTCTAAGGAAAGGCAGGCGGAACTCATTCCAATTAGAACCAAGTGCCGAACTTGGGCTGTCCCAGCCAGGCGGGGAGCCGCTGTGAGTGATGCTCCTGGCACTCTGACTCCTGCCCCTCATCGTGCTCATCACTTATGGGGCTCTTTGCAAAGGCTAGTCTCACCTTTTCATTTTCATGGGTGGTGGAGACCTTCCTCCACGGTTCCATGGACAAATTTGGAACTAGGCAGGCATGCCTGGAGTGACAAGGGGACAGCAGCTGTGCCCTTCACGGATGGCACAATGCCCAGACAGACTCCCCAGCTTCCTTTCCAAGTTGTGCAACTACATTTTCCTTGGGCTGTTTATTCTATGCAGGGGAAATGCCCCATTTTTACTACCAGATCTTTCATCTCTTCTTCCTCCAAGTCGGACTGAACAGCTCTGGTGTCTTTCTACACTCAGCTTGCAGGAAGTTCTTGGTGGACTCAAGAGTGGGGTGGAGGTGGGCATTCCATTCGCGTGGCCCCACAGTAGCATGCCTTCCTGCAGCCCGGGCAATGCCTACTTCATCCTTCTCTTCCTCAAATATACTTTGGGATATCAGCTCCAGTTCACTCCAAATGAGGCAAAGGTCAGAAGACTCAAGGAGACAAGGACACGGCTGGGTTTGCTATTGGCAACAACTTGATGCTACTTTTTTCCAACTAGGGAGTTTGAGTGACCATGGCTACAGGGGAGAGTGCCACTGAACTTTAGTGGATGAGATGGCAGGAGGAATCATTTGTGATTCTCCTGAGTAGCCAAGAGGACTCGAACTCCATCCGCCTAAGGAGACGTCTCATGTCTTGCAAACATGTCCACCTAAAAACATGTCTGTGGGTTCGGGTTCATGGTTAAGCCAGCTGGCAGGGCAGAGCCTAGAGGGCACAGGCAGTCAGTATGCTGACCATGCAAAGAATAATCTTTCCATGTCCATGAATGTCTGTGTCCATTTGGACACATAGCAAAAATGGCCGGCTCATTTCTCTCTCCTCCCTACCATCAGGAATGCAGCTCAGCAGCCATTGAGCACACATGTCTTTCTAACCCAAAAGAGTGTAGCAGGGGACAGGCTAAGCAGCATTTTCAGGAGCTCTCTAGATAGAAACTTGGGTTGGTGGAATGCCTAGCTATGGAGTCTTCTTACTTCCCTAGAGACCCTTTTCACATGTTGCTGCCATGCTTTTGGTCCCTGTGGAATAGAGGATGGGTGGTTGCCTAGCCTTCTTCTCCCGTGGTGTTCTGATATTTAGAAATGTGAGTGTTTCAAGTTTCCTGCTGGACTTGGCCCTTGGCCACAGAGGAAGGGTTATTATATCTCCTGTGACTGGGAGACAGAGCCTAGTGATGCCACCATTGGATTTAAGGCCATCTTCAAAGGTGGTGGGTATTCTGTCCTGTTCTGCTAGGGGCCCAGGAGAAGTGAGTCACAGGATCAGTACCTTAAGACAGTATTTGAACACTACTTCTGGGACAAGGGACTCATCTCAGCATTGTTTCTGGACCCCTTGGCTCCTTGTTTCTGAGGAAGGAAAAACTACGGGTGCAAAAAAATGGGCAGAAAAAATAGGGACATCAAAAAATGGGTGCTGCTGACTGTCCACAGAAGGGTATGAGAACAGGAGTGTCGGGCAGAGGCAAGGCCATGGACAAACAGAACATCTCTTCCAGATTTTGGAGCACCTTCCTTGCAGAAGTATCCCAAAGAAGGTTAGAGAGTGCGGACGCCGGGATCACTCACCCACTGCTGGAAGGAAGCCACCTCGGGGGTGAAATGCAGCGGCCATTCTGACTCTGCGCCAGCAGCACTAGGCAATTGTGTTTTTAGGAAGGGAAGTGAAGAATAACTTATCCAGCTGAAACCATGAAGACCTGTGGCTTTAGGGGCACCCCTGCCCAGACACACACACACAGCTGCAGCAGGCATGCAATCCATGCACAGAGAGGTACACTCAGGTCAGCAGCGTATGTTACCAGCGTACCATACACTGAACACAGGGGTATTTATTGGGCAGGCAGCACATGCACCTGTGTATACAGCCGTGCACACGTTCATGAGCATGCTACACCCCAGGCATTTATATAAGCATCTCATGCAAGGTGCATAAGCAGTCATGTGATTGGCTGTAGAGCTTTACATCTGGCTCCTACGATGCCAATCTGACAAACACTGAAAACAGAGAGCATTTACCTTAAGATATATATGTATAGAACCTGAATTCTCCTCAGGAAAAAAGCCATTCATGTCAGTGGAAATGGTCTCCCTGTTTCTGTTTCTGCCAATACTACAGGCAGTAGAGGCATGAACCCCAGGGGTCTGTTTTAGAGGGATTTCAAAGCATCCCCTGCCACTTGCTTCTGATTTCTTCAAGAACCTCACTCTGTGGTATATGGTTAAAGAAAAGGAAGCCTTTGTGATCTGGCAGATGGAGCAACTGGACTTGGTGAGGTTGGGGTGCTCAGGGTGGCCCCAGGTAGGCAGCCAGCTGAGGGGAGAGTTTCTGGGAAGGAAGGGTTTCGTGTGGAGGATTGGATTCCATACTCTTATTATGGGGAGAACTAGTCTTGATTTGGGTCTGAAGGCAGGAGCTGCCTTAGGGACCTGCACCTCTGGAAGGCGGCAAATGCCAGATCTTGGCAAACATGCAAGATGTTCAGGTCAGCAGCGTATGTTACCCACGTACCAGCTCTCCCCACCTCCCAGCCCTGCACAGCTCCCAGCTTCCTAGGCAGTGCTTGGGGATCCTGAGAAGCTGGCCACAGGGCAGAAGCTGGCCTGCTGGGCCACACAGTCTCTCCATTCCCAGGGGAAGCAGAGAAACTAGCTCTCTGAGTGGATTGTAAAAATAAGCCAATAATAATAGCTGTCATTTACTGAGTAATTCTATGAGCTGGCCACTGTAATGAATACATGTACTTTGTACACATTGTCATATATGAGATACCCACATACTCATCCTGAAGTACAAAATAAATACAAGGATACCTACCTCTCACAATATTGTCAGGAATTAATTAAGGTAATAAGAGCTAAACATGGCTGCAAGTATTGTAATAATGAAAATAATAATATGAAGAGTTAGACTTGAGCACATATACTACCGATACTATGCTAAGTGCTTTATGTATTTTTTCCACTTAATCATTTACTCTCATCTCCCTTTTACAGATGAGAAAACCGAGGCTTAGGAGAGCTGCCCAAGCCACCTAGGAAAGTGGTAGAGCTGGAGTAGGATTAAAGACCTTCTCAGGCCAAGCTCAGCATGGCGTGGACACCCACAGTATAACGCTGTGTGTCCCTGGGAGACGGCAGCCACTGCTGTTATGGCCTCATTTAGTGTGAATGCTCACCCTGTGCAGGGCCAGAGGCTTCCTATACCCATGTGGCAAGTGAATGACTTGCCTGGAGTCTATTATCAATATCAGGTGGAGAAACAGGATTCAACTGGGGCTGCCCATCCCTAACTTAGTCCACTTCTCTACATTCTGGTGGCCACTGAAGGGATGTTATTCTCGGGGGCAAAGCGGGCAGATCATCGTCAGTGGGGGAGAGGAGCGCAGTTGGAAGAAATACTGCTCCCAGGTTTTCAACAGCACTTAACCCTGGGTGGCTGGTGCTTCTTAGTCACACCATGGATGGGAGCACCTGGCTACTACAGGGTGAGGGGCAGTCTGCCCTGAGCAGGGTGGTCAGCCACAAGGAGCCTCGCAAAGCACGTGCCTGGTGGGGCAAGATGGACCTGGCTGTGCAGCCATCGGCGTAGCCCTGGGGAGCATGGGAAGGAAGGAGACAGGCTGGGGGCTCCCATGGCCATCACCCCACCCACATGCCTTCCGGGCAAGCCTTCCCACAACATGCTACAGATCTAGAAATGATTCAGGAAAACGACGCTCGAGGGCTAGCAAGTGATGGGCTCTGAAGCTGTGTCATTACCAAGGAAACCGCCATCAAGCATACGACCGCTGGATCATGATCACTCACAAGTGGTAACAGTCGACTCCTTCATATTTAGAATTACGGATGCCCTGGAACCTGCCAGTATCACCCATGATTGAGAATCCATCAGAATTTCCCTTCTCCTTTTGCTGCAGATTACAGGGTTGAATAGAGCTTTGTGGTGGCTGCTCTGTCTCCATTTCTCAGTTTTATCTGCTATGATGTAAAGGCCAGGCCCTCTTTCCTGCTTGACGGTCTGTCTTTTCCCATCAGGCGCGGGGGTTCAGATAAGAAATGAACTCTTGGTGCAGATGAGAAAGGCCACGGGCATGGTGTCAAACAGTTCTCCAACTCTGTGGAGAAGTATGGGTGCCTCTGTCTCCCCAGGCCACTCTCTCCCCTACCTCTTATATCCAGGCACCAATCATGTATGACAGAGTTTTAAGGACTGTCTAAGGCAATATAGTAACAATCAACTCTGACTGGGTTTTCTTTAGCTTTAAAAACCGTCTTATTAAAACTTTGCTGACTTTACCGGTATCGCCATGTTTAATGAGATGCCTCAAAGAATTTGAAAGCAAAAGATGAGGAGAGGAAGCTGTAATCATCATAATTATACAATCCTACGCGAAGTCCGAGAGAGGGGGGAGTGTCATTTACAATCGGGTTGGTCCCCAGGACAGCTGGAAAGAACGTGACAAGAGAGCCCTTCTGTTCCCCCGATTTGGGCTGAAGGTAAGTCCTCCAGGCAGGTCCTGGAAGAGGTGCCCAGGAGGGGTGGTTCTCCTCAGTCTGTGGGCACTGGGGGCATGTTCTGTGCCTGGCCAGGTGGAGACAATTTTGGGGCCAGCTTGCCTATCTGGAATCTGCAACTGGGTTTGGGTAAAAGGCAACCGGCATTATTATTATTATTATCATCTTGTCTGCTCTCAACAAAACATCCTTTTTGGGTGGGAATGATGAAGACCAAGCTTTCTCCAGTGCAGAGCCAGGGTGGCTCCCACACATGCCCACCCTGGCTGTGTTCAGCCTCCCTGTGTCAGCGGGCGCCTGTGTCCTCTGCTCATGGACCTCCTTTCAGGCATTCAGGGAGGGGCCCTGTTGCCCAGAGCTCAGCTGCAGTGGCAAGTGGCTTAAAAAAACCCCAATGAAACAAAAGCAAGGCTGGCCTGCGGCGGGCAAGTAATTCCAGCCCTTGTCACTTCTCCTGCTTTGTGTCATCACCTGGCTTTTCCTCCCTCAAGTCATGGGCTAATCTGGCTCTTGGTCCTTCTCCTCCAGTCTCAGCAAACTCCCTCCGTATAATCCATTCTCCTTTTCCACTGTTTACTTCTCAACCACAGAATAAAATGCAGTAGGATCCATTTAACAAATATTTAAGGCATTAGAGGATCCCAGTTAGAAGAGATGATGGAATTCAATGCAGAAAACTGCTCTACAATATCCTTGGCCATTCAGCTCCTGAACGTTTCCAGGGAGCTCATTGGCCCTTGAAGTAACATATTCTATTGCTGGGAAGTTGCTGCTCTTGGAGTAATCTTCAGTAGAGTGACTCTTCCCATATCGCCTACTGATTTTTTCTAGCTTTGTCCAGAGCTCTGCAGAAATGTCCACTCACTTTGGAGGACATATATGAATACATCTCATGAGAGTTACCTAGTCTCCTTAGGGGCTACACAAAATCTTTATCTACTTCAGCCTCAATTGATACAGCTTCCACAGACCCCAGTTATTCTCCTCTGAATTTTCTTTAGATTGTGAGGGCTCAGAACCAAGAGTCAAGATGGTCTCGAGCAACACAGAATGTAGTGGACTGCATCCTGCTGTTGCTTATATTAAGTTTACAGTCAACTAAAATCCCAGAAATTTTGTTTACTTGAATTACAGTGAAGGCTACAAATGCCCTCCTGTAGTGGTGAGGTGAATTTTTTAAAAAAAATTTTAACTTATCTAGCTGTTGTTGACCCATCATCTCACCTGAAGGAGATATGTTTCAAATGTAATTCCATCACCAACCAAAAGAACAATACCTTCCACGTTTGGATTTTTTAATGCGATCAGCATCCAATTCATCAAAAAGGATGCTGGCAGGACAGAGCCGTGGCCAGACCCGTGGCCCACGACCAGAAACTGCCTTTCCAGTTGGCATAGCTCTGTGCATTTGTCCTCTTATCAGCCATTCAGACCCTGTGAATTTCTTACCTAATTTTGGACAAACACAGAGAAAGCAGAGGTAGAGAGGAGGAGAGAGGACACAAATGGATATTATTTTCAACTTATTGCACTAATAACAGTCCAGAAATAAATATTCTTTGGAGCAGGGGGTGTAGTTATGATGGTCTTTCTTCTACAAAGAGCTAGGCTGAGGGTATGGAAAGTTCCTGCTAAACATCACACCAGGGAGGGCCATGCCTGTTTGGGGCCCTGGCGCCACTGCTCAGGTCCCAGTGATCTGACTGTGATGCGGGAGAGAGGAGGAAACGCCGGCAGTTGGGCCCTGTCACTGCCGGGGTGGCTGTACACTCCCACCCTTGCCCCACCTTCCCATCTGCTAGGGAGCTGCAGAAGGGCCTTTCACTGGCCTTCAGGTAACATCACCAGACTGAAATCCCCACTGTTCTGAGCTCTTCTCAGCTCCGTGGCAGTGTCCCATTTAGCATTCTGCCTTACAGCAACATTTTACAGACTGTTCCTTTGTAAGGATTTATATCCTGTCCCCCTTCCAGAATGCTGAGTTTCCCAAACTCAGCTCCAAGCAAAGATACTCACGTGTTACTTGATAAAAGGGAAGCCTTCCTAGTTGTTTTCACCAGTAGCTCATTTTGGGGGAACTCCATGACAGTCTTACTTTGAGGCCCTGGAGGCCTTAGA